AAATGGCAACCCACTCCAGTATGCTGGCCTGGAGAATCCCATGGACAGAGGAGCCTGGTGGGCTGCAGTCCATGGGGTCGTAAAGAGTCGGACACGACTGAGCGACTTTGCTTTCACCTTCCCTTTGCAGGAAATGCACCTGTGTTGCTTCTTGCACAAGCACACGCTGGACAGTCCCTGTAGGAAGTAGATTGTGATGCATCCAGGCTCTTCTGCCAGCAGCATTTTTTCTTTTTGCTTAAATGTCTCTGTAACTGTGCGGGGGCTGGGGGCAGGAATGTTTTACAACATTGTGTTGGTTTCTGCCATACAACAGTGGTACATTGCTCCCTCGTGAGCCTCCAGGCACGTGCCCCCCTCCCCACCCCCTCCCTCAAGCCCTGCTGGAAGCCTTGCTCCAAGAAAGGGGAAGGCCTGGTCAGCATAAGCCTGTGGGCTGGGACCCACCTGCTCCCTGGAGGGAGGGGGGAGGGGACTGGAACAGGGGTTACCTGCGGTGCTCATCAGTTTGCATCTGAGCGGATTCTGGAGTTGAACTCCTTTTCCTGCGGATTGCCTCATCTTCTCCAGGCCGCCGCAGCCAGGAGGGGTGTGCATAAATGGGCCTTTGCTTTCCTTTGGACCTTCCAGTGCAGCTGCAGAAACAATGCATCCGTATTGACTGACTGCTTTGGGGATTTTCGCGTGTGCTGTAGGCTGACCTCTGCCTGTTGATGGAGAATGCCTCTCACAACACAGCAATCTCCGGGCGGCAGCCTACACAGCAGAATTTGCCTAGCTTCGTGCCAACTGGGGTAAACATTCGCAAAACATGTTTCAGGAACAGAAAATTAGTTCATTTGGAAATAGCGGGTTATCAGCCTCTGCTTGTTCGGCACGTGGTGGCTCTGAGAGCTCCTGCCTGGAGGGTTCAGGGTGACCTGGGCCTTCCCCGGTCAGGACCTCGTCTTTGCTCCTCTCTCAGCACCTTTCCTGTTCCCCGGCCCTGTGCTGGATTGTCCCCGCCGCCCGTGGTCCTCCCAGCAAGGCTGGGCGAGAGTGGGAGGTCTGCGTGCCTTGCAGTGACACAGTTGGGATGGATTTCTAGACTTTTGGCTCTTCACCCCTCTTTTCATTTTAGACATTCTTCTCTGAATCAGTGACACTCTTCTGCTGTCTGCCACACCAAGTTATTAACTTTCTACGTCAGATTTTTCTTGGGTATTGTAGTGTTTTCCAGCTTTTATGAAACACTTAGTATTTGTAATACGACAAAAGGTCAGATTTAATAAGGTATCGTACCCCAGAGGAATATTGAGTTTCCGTTGGAAAGATAATTCCAGTGTGAGCTTGCCTCATGGATAAGTTAGATCACACCAAGTGTATCCAGAAGCGGGGCCTCCAGGGGAATTGGTCATTGCTAATCACTTGCAGAAGAGCTTGGAGCCGTGGCCAGCCGGCCTGGAGCTGGTGGCCGGAGAGCAGCTCTCTGCGGCCATGGCCCCAAGCGGCTCTCTGCTGAAAAGCAGCTTCTTAACCGTTGAGAGAACCTTGTATCCTACTCATTGAGAATATTAAACGGTTCAGATTCTAAAATCCAGAGAGAAGACCATGCCGATGGGATTGTGCACCTCCTTGATGTAAAAATTCCATTTGCTTTTGCTCTGTGGGGTGTGGTTGCGGTTGTGTTTGTGAAAGAAAGCATTAGCGACGCAGAGGGAGGCCCACCGCCACCACCTGCTCCATCCGTGTTGACGGCGGTCTGCGTCTTTCGGTCCACATCTCTTTAGACTGTGGCCCGAGTGTGTGTCCTTAGAACACGGTGTTCTGTGCGAGAACCCATGGGGTAGCATACTGACTGTGTCCTTCTGCAGTGTGAATGAAAGAAAACAACCCATCATTCTGGGGACTTCTCAGTGACCCAGTGACTAAGACGCACTCTCCCAATGCAGGGGCCTGGAGTTCAATCCCTGGTCGGGGCACTGGATCCCGTATGCCGCTAAAGGTCCTGTATGCTTCATGCATATAACATCTGTATGTATACATACATATAAGATACATGATACATTCAGACAGGATCTAAGACCTGGCGCATCCAAAGCAATAAGTAAATGAATAAACAAATAGAAATACATGTCCTTCTGGTTCTTTCGCTTTACCTGCTATAGAATATTCCGTTTAGAGAGTTCCCTGGCAGCCCAGGGGTTAGGACTGCACACTTCCACTTCAGGGGCTCTGGGTTCAGTCCCTGGTCTGGGAGCTAAGATCCTGCAAGCTGCACAGTGCAGCCAAAAAATAAAAAAGGGTATTCCAGCTGGAATCAGTTTCATAGTTAAGTGTTTATATATTTCTTTACACGAGTAAGGACTTTTGAACATTAAAATTTTTTTCCTGTATGCTGTATGGTGAATGCATGTGTGTTGGGGTGTGTGTCTGTGTCTGTGTGTGTGTGTGTGTAGGGCTAAGAGGAATTCAGGTCCTACTGAGAGAATTGGGCCACAGCCCCTCCAGAGCTGCTGCAGGTCCTGAGTCGGGACTCGGGGTGCGTCTCTTTTCCTCCTAACCTTGACATCTGCAGCTACCTCTACCTATACCTAGACATAGCAGTGACCTCTACCTAGACCTGAACTGCTGCAGGCTGCCACAGGAGACCCACACCTCAAGCTCTGGGATGGCGCCTCTGCAGTCGTGGGGGGTGCGGGGTGGGTTGTGCTGAGGCTCCCTGGGCAAGGTGTGATGCCCGGCAGGCCTCGGGCCCTGGACTAGCCTGGCGGAGGCAGCAGGAGAGCCTCACGGGGGTCCATGTGACTGGGGTCAGGGTGGCTCTGCATATTCGTGAGGAAGGTATGTTGCTAGTGGTAGGGGGAATGGTGGGTCTGATTGTCCGAAAGGGAGTGAACTGTGGACTGTGTCCATTCTTATTTGAAAATGCATTGTTATTACCCCAAAAAAATACATAGTTTTTCAGCCTTGTCACCAAATTTTAGTTCCTTGCAAGCTTCAGCTTGAAAGGGAGTTAAAAGATGGCACACATAAGGGCGCGTATTTAGGATGTATTTATGATGTCTGCACGTGTGTTTAGGGTGTCTGCACAACTCTAGTGTGAAGCTGTCGATAACTTCTCACACTGGTGGTGGGGGCGTGTGTGAACTGCAGACGACACTGTCTTGCTTTAAATTTCAGCCAGAACTTTTCAGGGTGATCATTGTTTAATGCTGTTCCTGACGGAAGGTTAACATAAAATAATTTAGGGCCTTGTCACACATTCCTGGCAGGGAGTATGCATCGGCCAGATCATCTGGAAGGCAGCATGACAGCAAGGGGCTGATGCCTTCAAAATGTTCACACATTTGGTCTAGAAATTTGAGAATGGTGTACTTTCCTATAATATTCTCTTAGGACTTCTCTTTCCTACTGAATATTCTATTCATTATTACAGGAAAGTAGAATATTAGAGATATTTGTAGAGAGAAGGCACAAGTATTTGTTGCTCCATTTTATTAGAGTCAAAACTTGGGAAAATGTAGGTGTCCATGTTTATGTCTGTATAGTGAGCAGAGATAACCGAATACAGGTGCACACTCTCCCTTGTAAGTTTGTTTGATGGATCAGTGGGGAGACCCAGGTAAGGCCCACGGGACAGGCCCTGGTACTTGGTGAGTGGTGATGTGAGGTTAATGCCATCATCTTGTAAAAGGACAGCTGCATCTAGAAGTTTGGAAGGATAGTTCACCAGGATGGTTGTGTTAGGATGGTGGGTTTTATGGGCGGTTTTTTCCCCCTTCTATTTTTTTCTTACACAGACACTCCTCTTTTTCTTGAGGATCACGTATTTCTTAAAGTTCTATAAGAAGTATTAGCTTGAATGCCAGTGAAATTTTCTTTTCTTGGGAACAAAATACCGTTGAGGTTAGAAGTTCTGCGGAGGTCAGCGAACACTTTCTGGGAAGGGCCAGGCGGTGAGTATTTTAGGCTTTGAGGGCTGTCCACTCCTTAAGCGGCCTCTCAGCTGCTCTGTGAAAACGCGTAAGCAAATGGTCATGGCTGAGTTTTGCTAAAACGTTATTCACAAAAACCCACACCATGCTGGATACAGCCCACAGGCCGTTGTTTTGTAACCTGTGTTGTCGTAGGTCCTGGTGGGTTTAGTGGTTGAAATCCAGCAGAAAGGGGCCCAACCACCACGTATGTATACTGAGTTTATTTTCATCCTCATAAAGTTGACTTTCCAACTAGACTGCATGCGTTGTTATTTAATTTGATGCTGTGGAGACTTTGTGGGACAAAGGCTCAGCCTTTCTCATGAGGGGAGCTGAGTCCTTTTGCTCTGGATTGACAGCACCCAGGGGTGCGGTGTTGGAGTCCTTGGTCGTGCTCATCTCCGTAACATCCAGTGCTGGCCCTCGAGATACCAAGTCCGTTCCAGTCTTCTTTCGGGAGTGGCGCCTACTTGCTCATCATTAAAGTGTCCCTGACCGAGCCTTCCGCCACCCTGGGAGAGGGCACCATCAGGGCTCATGTTTATTGCTGGGAAACGGAAATTTGGGGCGGGGGAGGGGGGCACGATTTTTCTCAGTGGTTTGAATGTTATTTTTGAATTCTGCCCGAAGGGTGATGAGGATGGGTCAGAACTGGAGAAATGTTTTCTGGAGGCTTCTTGACTGGAGAGGGGAAGGGTGGACTTAGGAAGGACGTGCTTGCTGGAAGAGAAGGGAGGGATGACCTGAGTGGGCACCGTGTGCTTGGTCCACATGGGCAGATGGCTCGGCCCCCACTCACTTGCTGGGCCAGCGCCCTCCAGGGCAGCTGTGGTGGGAGGAGAGGGGGCGTGAGACCCCAGTGAGTCAGGGCTCGGGAGGCTCTGGGGAGAGTCCGTCGGCAAGGATGGAGGCAACTTCATGAAGCATTGTCACCTTTGATACTTTCACTGCAGTGGGGCTGCTATTGGACCAGAGGGCAGGAAGCCGGACCATGGCTGTGGCCTTGAGCCTGGTGTCCCCCTGGGGGACCCCGGGGAGTGGTCAGGGACCCCGGGCAGGGTGGGGCCGGCACGGAGGAGCTCTTCGCTGGGTTTCTGGGGGTGGGCTTGGCAGAAGGGCAGCCTCGAGCTGTGGTCTGGGCAGAGGGATGGGTGAGCAGGTGCACGTTCCCAGAGACACGGAGGAGCGAGGGGAGATGGAGGCTGGGTGTGCGGGTGGGCAGGCCCCGGTGGCCATCTGCAGCGAGGTGTGATCTGATGAGGCTCCAGGAGCGGAAGGAAGGCGGGCAGGGGGTGGGTCGGGAGGGTGCGGCCACAGGCAGACACTGCAGAGCAGAAGGAGACTAGGACGGATGCGCGGCAGGGAGCCCCTCCAGGCGGGGGACCAGGCGTCCAGCACGGGGACCACTGCTGCTAACCTGATGGGGGCGGACATCATGGAAGGCAGCCAGTGACCATCACTCAGTGGATTTTTATGAAGCCTCATGAGTCCGAAGGACTTCTGAAGCAGGTATTCCCCATTCCACCACTGTGTATGGAAGACTTCATCGCATTTTTTCTTCCAGTAGAGTAGTAACACATGTATATGAAACTACAAAGTAGAGCATCATAGGGGGGTTTCATGCCAAGTAAAGCGCACGTTGAAAGTTACCGTCCTGAAAACCTTTTACACGGGATCGTTACTGTTTTGCTGGACTTCCTGCTAACTGTTTTTCTGTACCTTCTTCCTCGAGATGTTTGAGGGGGAATTTCGGAGCCTCTTGGCCGAAGCATCATGTCATGTCGTAACGTGGCCCAGACGTGTTCCGTGTATCTGTCAAAGGCTTAGGGACACGTGGAGGGGGCAGTGGGCCCTGTTAGGCTTCAGTCTTCACCTTCAGTGATTCTGCTGCTTCGCGGCCTCGATGCTGTTTGGCAGCCCAGTGGCTCCAGCGGCAGGCACCTGTCCTTCATCCGCACGTAGCGCCGCCATGGCAACGGTCAGCCCCGCCTCCCCCTAATTGTTTGAACCTAGGCCTGTGGGCCTCCCCGGCCTGCATAATATATGAGCCCAAGGGACAGCCCCGCGCGCAGCCGATCAAAACAAAGAGCCCGCCTCCGAGAGCCGGCGGCAGATTGTGGAAACATATTGTGAACACATTCCCTGGCAACGGTGAACCGTGTCATCAAACGCGTCTCTGGTCCGTCAAAAAATATTTTGACAGGGCCAACCGGCTAGCGCCTTCTTATGCAAATACGCCGGCAAGGCCCGGATCCCAGGGCGACCCCCAAGTGGGAATCTGAAGTGGGGGGCAGGGGTGCAGCCCACGTCATCAGGGTTCGTCCCTCCTGCAGATAAGCACACGCGGAGAAGGCTCTGTTTCCGATTTCATGTGTAAATAGCTGAATCGGTCCTGACGCTCAGATCCCGGGGGGTGGGGATCATGAAACGGTGTCCCCCTGAGGACTCGGACAGGGTGCTTCAGGACAGCTGAACTGAAAAGCCACGTGAAGCTTGTGGGGTGACGCCCAGAAAGACAATGGATTGGCCACCCCTGACCAGCCAGACCCGGGAAGTCGCCAGGGAGGTGCTGGGTTAAGGGGGTGGGGAGGGGTGGGGTCGGCTGGCTGGCCGGGCATCGTTGGCCAAGAGGGGCCTTATGCCCACGAGCCGAAACGTGGTCCCCGCTGTGCCCGCCGTGGCTGCCCTGCCTTCCCACCAGAGGTTCCTGGGCTCAGGGATCACCTCTCCTAACACTGTGCTTCTTCCGGGAGGGCCAGGCCTGCCGGGGCGCACAATCAGCCCTCAGGAGCAGCTGCTGTGGGTTGGACTTTGGGGTGAGACGTTAGAGCCTCCGTGTGCCTTGGAAAAGGGGGGTACTATCCATGCAATATGCTTGCAGTGAGAACGCAATGAAGGCTGCTTGGAAACGCGCTTGGGCGTGCCTGTGGCAGGTGGGAAATGCTAATGGGGTAGAATAGAGGTGGTTCTCGGTCCCAGGCCCCAACTGGGTTCTCAGAGTAAAGACCCACGCTTCCCCTCTTGCTGTGGGGGGGGGGGGCTGCTCCCCTGAGACGCAGCTGGGGTGCTGTGTGGCAGCTTCTGGTCGATCTTCTTACAGGAGAGCAGGGGGTGGGGGGCCCTTCGCCCCTTTGACCCTTCCTCTCTGTTCTCTCCTCTGTGTGCGTGTCAGTCGCTCAGGCGTGTCTTATTCTTTACGACCTCTTGGACCACAGCCGCCAGGCTCCTCTGTCTATGGGGTGCTCCAGGCAAGAATACTGGAGTGGGTCGCCATGCCCTCCCACAGGGCATCTTCCTGACCCAGGGATCGAACCCAGCTCTTTCCTCCTGGGGCTCTTTCCTCCGTGTTGGAACTGGAAGGGGTCCAGGTTTGTGGACCACCCCCCCCCGCCAGCCTCACCTGGGACAGCCCTCCTGGACACTCCATTGACGGGAGGGGCCTGCCCTTCTGGCTGCTTTAAGCCGCTCTTCGTCAGGGTCCCCGGGCACGTGTGGCCCGCAGACTCTGGTTCATACACGGTGAGAACGTGGTGTCCGGGAGACCTGGGAGGCTGGCTGCCCCCGCGTTTGGTGTCTCAAGCTGAATTAGCAGTCCGTCTTTCAGACTGAACCTCTCACCCCCTGAGCTGAGTTCCCAGGGGACTGCTTGGCCAAAGCTGAGACCCACAGGCCATGTTCTGGGGCTGTGAGATGTGCTTTTCGGTGGCCCCTCTGCCTCGCCAGCTCCGTGATGACGGTCCAGGCTTTGGTGAGCTGCCAGATACACTCGAGGCTGTCAGGCGACCGTCTGTTGATGGCTGAGTTCTACACGGCTGGTTTTCTGAGCCACGATCGGGCAGGCTTGGGCAGGTCTCGGCTGTGAGCGAGAATCTCCGGATGCTTCTGTTTTTCTAGTTTCACCTGGCTTCTCTGGGGAGCCAGGCTCTGGCGTCTCTCCTTGCCGATGAGGTGGTTGTGTTTCTGCTGCAGAACATAGCCTGCCGATTTAATCAGGAGGCAGGAGAGCCGGCCGCTGGCTGCTCGTCTGCCCAGCCTTCCTTTCGTGGTGCCCGATGGCATGCTGGGGGAGCTTTATTGCATGTGTTGTCACCTTAGTTTTCCTGTTGGGATGGACATCATGGTTTCAGAGGAAGGTGCTGGAGCCCAGTGGCTGGAAAACAGAGACAGCCAGGTTGGCAGATCTGCCTGGCCCTAACTCGCGTAGGAGGCATTTCTGTTTCAAAGTCAGCAGCCCAGCGGGCAGCCTTACCACTGCCTGTGGGCGAGCTTGGTGGGCTTCTGCGTTCTGCTTTGCTTGAGCCCCTCTCACAAAAGCGGCAGTGAGGGGGTGCTGATTTTTCCCCTAAGCCTCAGGTTGAGGGGAGACCCGTGCACAGGGCCTGAACACTGGAACTTGAAGACAAGCAGCTGTGACTTGAACGCAGACGGTGGGGCTTTCCCCTTGCTCTCCCACCTCTGTGTCTCTTCTCCTTGGGGTGCTGGGAGTCTTTGTGGGATGAGTTTGTACTGGCGTGTCGCTGGATGAGAGTTCTGCTTTTTGAGAGCTGTGTGTGTAAACAAGGTAACGGTGGACGTGTGTTTACATTTCATTTCACGTCCCAGGAGTCTCCACGCAAGTCACAGCACTGTCATTTTCATAATTATGCCCCTCTGGGTGACACTGTAAAACAGTGGAGAGCCCCGGCCTTGGAAGTTCCCCCCCTGGCACCCCCACCCCTGATCCCACCAGAAGACGCTTGTTTACAGCTTCTCATGGGAACCGGAGCCGAGAAACTCTCCATCAGAAAGTTATTCCTGGTGTCGAAACCAAGTTGCTCAGGTTGTGAAGGAAGCCCGCCTCTAACCGTTCCCACCACATGTGCCGCGGGCCAACTGTGTGTCCCCCGCCCAGAAGACAGTCAGAAAAGTTGAGCCTCCCAGGGGCTTCGAGGAACCTTCTCTGCTGCGTTGGCGATTGTCAGCATCCCAGCCGGAGCGAGGCCTGAGCCCTTGCTTTTGTGGCCATGTTTTCATCGGAATTCTCCCCTTTCTCCCTTTAATCATCCCGTTGAACCTGAGAATGCTGGTTTTTGTTTGGGTCAAAACGGAATCTTTTTCCAAAATGTTGAAAAGAGCATTGAATTTCTAGTGAGGGAGCCTGTGTTAAAAGGCTTTGGCTTGTGGTCAGGGCCCCGCACCTCTCGTAGGATGAATGAACGGATGGAGCAGTGGTCCCTGTCCTCCCCCCGCCTCCCCTGAGCGCTCTGAAGTGTGCATGTGGTGGGCGGCTGTGTGTTGTCAGGTCTCTGTGGGTTTTCAAGGGCCTCAAGTCCAGGCCAGCTTCCCCTCGGAAGCGTGAATGTTTCTTCCCTGATGATGAATCTTGCACAACCTGGTGCCCCAGGATCTGTGGTCAGGAGGCACCTGTTGTTATAAGCAGCAGGTGTCCTGAATTTGAATCCCGACCTTGGAACTCCTTGGAAGGAAGCTATAACAAACCCGGACAGCATATTAAGAAGCAGAGAGATCACTTTGCCAACAAAGGTCTGTCTAGTCAAAGCTGTGGTTTTTCCAGTAGTCATGTATGGATGTGAGAGTTGGACCATAAAAAAGGCTGAGCACCAAAGAATGGATGCTTTTGAGCTGTGGTGTTGGAAAAGACTCTTGAGAGCCCCTTGGACTACAAGGAGATCCATCCAGTCAGTCCTGAAAGAAATCAGTACTGAATATTCATTGGGAGGACTGCCACCTGATGCAAAGACCTGACTCATTGGGAAAGACCCTGATGCTGGGAAAGATTGAAGGCAGGAGGAGAAGGGGACAACAGAGGATGAGATGGTTGGATGGCATCACAGACTCAATGGACATGGGTTTGAGTAAACTCTGGGAGTTGGTGATGGACAGGGAGGCCTGGTGTGCTGCAGTCCATGGGTTCGTAAAGAGTTGGACACGACTGAGCAACTGAACAACAACAAACTCAGGGCTCAACTGCCTGGCCGTGGGTAAGGCATCCACCCATCTGAGCCTCTGCTGCCCTCTCGAAGCTGGAATGAGAAGCCCGCCCAGGGTCATGTGAGAGGGGTGAGCTCCCTGACGATGCGGGCGTATCCTTTAGTTCCCCTGTTTGCTGCCGATTAGCTTTGATCTTCATCTTACCTGGTAGTCTTCTTAGGAAAACCAGTTGCTCTAAAAGCTTGCGAGAGTCTCCAGGTATGGAAAATGGATTAATTTCTTTCATCCATCACTCAGAAAAATTCCAATTCCTGAGATCATTTTCTAAATTTTTCTTTATTTGGCTGCTTTGGGCATTTTTTGCGTCATGCAGGATCTCTGTTGCATCATGTGAGATCTTTCGACGCAGACGCTCAGACTCTGTAGTTGTGGCTCATGGGCTCCGGAGCACACAGGCTTCAGTAATTGCAGCACTCGGGCTTTGTT